TTACATACCCTAGCCCATTCCTCTGTCCAGTCATCTTCTATGAACCTCCTAGACATGTACTTTGTCGTTGATACCGTGAATGATAAATGGGTTGTTTTTTTTGGTCTATTTTCAGTGTCACTAGTTCATCGACCCTTCGGCCGAACCGAACTACAGGCAGATCTTGTTGAACAAGAGGCTGATTCGTCGTGGACATCATGTCAAGTGTGAAACAGACGCGTATCTCTTGATTATTATTATTCTTCTTCTGCTCGTTCCTCTCACCCCTCGGCTGCACGGACTCGCACTTTTGGCGGCAACCGCCCCAGTGTGCCCAGACTCCCCCCACCCAAATCCCGGTCGCTCCCGGATCCATCTAGACATTTCGAGGGTTTCGTTCTTATTCTGGCCTGCAGAAAGTCGTTGGATCCAAGACGATCTTGGATAGTCTCTCAAAAGTCTATGCCATTGTTATCGCGACTTGATAACTGGCTAGCTGGATGGTCTACGTACATGATCGGCCAAAAATAGCCCAAGAAAGCAATATCCGCGTCCGCATAGAGTCCTGGAGCCTTTGCGGAGTTCTTTCTGGGGAGCTTCGATTATTTTCAGCCATCAAACCGTAAACACCAGAGAAATTTGAACCTTGACCCTCCGCCACTAAACTAAGTGTGAACCACCGAACCGAGTTCTGACAGACGGAACGGCTACGATGACATGCAGCTGGAGGGGGGGAGGACCACACTCCGTTAGTTACTTAAAACGCTAACTCAGTCCAGTAGTAGTAGTCCTAAAGCCAGTACTAAAGCGTCGTGGCAGTTCTCCATTCTCCGTAGTAGTATGACTGTAGCCAGTGACTGGATATGTACTCCATCGGGAACTTCTTACATATTACTGACAAAGACGGGGGAAAAGGGTCGATCCTATGGATTATTTCCCCTCTCGTCGCGCCCAGTCTGCCTTTTTGGCGCAGACAAGCCGATTACAATTTGCTATTTCAAGCGAATTGCAGGGACTAGTTCTTTGCAGCATCCTTGACATGGTTTACCATGGTGTATTCCTCTACTAATCTAACTCTATTAACGACTGCAGCGTACTTTGTACTCTGGCTGTTGCTTCTACTGTACTAGTGACTCTACTACTGTACATACATGCCAGGATCAGGAACTATGTACTATTTGATCCTACTGTAGTTCGGTGTTTCAATATCCCTGCAATTTCCCTTGTGGGACGGAGCGGCTGGACCCAGGAACAACCCACTTTCGAACTGACGATGTACCTAACTAACTCAATGCATCTGTTGTACAGAGTACTAAATCCTGACTAATAATTGTTAACTAACTAACTAGTTAACTAACGTTACCCGTGTCAATCATCTCACTAGCGAGCTTCTCCCGTCTTAAGTCAGCCTGTCGCACTTTGCTCTTCAAACCAGATCGGCCGGGGGGCTCATTTCCAGTGTGGATTGAGGACAATGTAAAAACTTCTTGTTGAATAAGTTAAACACAGAACTTCCCATTATTATCTTTCACTCTATTAATGATAATTCAAATCCCAATTGCCCCTCCTCCTCTTCCTCTTCTTGGCCTCTTGCCTTATATCCACTCCTTTCTCTCCGCCAAAGTACAGCACTTGCAACTCCACTCATCCTCCACCGACCGACGTAGATGGGATTACTGTTTCGAGCTCGTAAATTAACCAAGAAAAGCAAAAACCCACAGTTTCAAATCGTCGACGGGATCCTCCTCGGACGGACGTAGCGCGAGATCTGGTGGCAACGGCCAACCTCCGCCCTGCCATAGCTGCAGGGGCCATCCATCCACGTGCACATTGTCCCGTAGACGGAGAATAGAAAATGGAGACTGGGAACGGAGGACGGAGTGTACAGTATGCAGATTCTTGTCAGACCATATCCGTTCTCCGAAGGCTCAGGAGGGTCTCCGTGCTAAGGGCTGTTCGAGGAATTGTCCTCGATTGGGTGGGAGAAATGTCCAGACTCCTCCAGGCCTTTTCCCGACTTGTCTAGCCAGCGCTACGGAAGGATCAGAAGAATTAGATCCAGACAGGCGATCAAAATGCGCGGAAACCGAACGGGGAGCAGCGCCAGCACGAACACACTCGCACAATTGACAACCCGCGCTCAGCCAGGTGCAATTAACTACTCCGTACTAATCCTAACGTTCGACAACCCCTGGTCTACTTGGTTCTCCCTATTCCTTAGCTGCAGCGAGGCTGCCTACGATGGCGGCAACTGGTGCAACCGTCAAATGGATAGTCTCGGGTTAATCACCGGCTTGGTTCCCCCGCTGGTTGGTTTGGTTTTTTTTTTTTTTTAATTTTCTGCTGTTAAGCATATTGTTTTCCGCTCGGTGATTCTGATACATGCCATTTGTATAACTATACAATAGTACATCTGGCCAGACATCCTTGATCAGAAAATATCGTGGGAGATTACCTGTGGAGAGATTGGATGTAAGCATGGTTCGAAGTAGTTCTTCTGCCCTAGATCGGTACTTTTGTACCTGCCAACGCATAGAATGATGCTGAACGTTGATTGAACGATACCCATGGACCTCGTAAACGTTTATCTTCACAGGGACGCGTACAACGTAAGAGGACACCCTGGGGCAGGATGGTGCAATCAGGGAATTGACCAGAGAATACAAGCTATAACGGACTCAAAATAGAACATTGGTAGTTGTTGATTGAGTAATGAACAACTATCTAATCCAGTCCAGTCCCATTGACTCTAACTCAATTCATTGAGAATCGACATTTGACAGTACTGTAATCTTACATTGTTCTTGCCTGGTCAATCCATGTACGCCGTACTTTATAGGATTGGAATATATTTCCGACTTGGACGTTTTTCGCTGGAATCTATGTCAAAATCCAACTGCTTATGGTTGACATCGCGTTAAACTGCGCCATCATCGTCAAATATATCCTCCCATCCAGACTTCCCAGTAACAATCAATCGATCGCATCTAGACCAGATATACGTGAGACAACTATACCCTTACCCTATCATAATAATAGCACTCATCGTCCTTTCCAGAACCCCTCGGATGTTCGCGCATTCTTTGCACCCACCCTGTTTTCGTCAATGCGTATGACATGCATCTGCGCGGTCATTGCGCTTACCACGAAACAAGAATTCTCACTCCAAAGACGAAAAACTTTCTTGGAGGTTGCCTTTTTTCCCCTTTTTTCTCTTTAACCGTTACTATCTTAACTCTCGCGCCCACGTCAGAATCGAGAGAGGGGAGAGGGAACCGATTAAGAAAAAGGAAGGAGGGCTCAGGCCCTTCATTGCTGTGTTCGACCACGAGCAGGAAGCTGTCGTGCTTAGCTCCATCCACTACCCCGGGTCTCGGCTGAGAGTACCTGTACAGTGTACTCCGTGCTGGTCCGGGCTGAAGCTGAAAGCTGAAAGCTGAAGCAACAGCCTTTCTTGGGTTGTCCGTTCGCACTTCGCTACCATAGAATAGACAGACTTTGTTCATAGTATCTTCTCGTAAAACGGATTCAATCTGCAAGGCTGCCAGGATTATCGTGAAGGATTTCAGGGTCTTGTCTTGTTTCGTCTCGTCTTGATTTCTCTCAGTTCGGTTCTGATTCTGACTCTAGTCCTGGTCTTAGGCCGCCCAGCGGCCCATAGCGTCAGGATATGTGTACCTAAGTTTTGTTCTCTTCTCTTCCCGTGCCTGTACCTGTTGTACCTTTTCAGCCCGGTCGATCACTTTTGGATCTTTTTCCGCCGCACGAGGGGGACGCATAGCTGACTAGTTACTCTTTTTGTACCGCCGATCGCACGGGCAACAAGATTGGCCGTGACGTCAAAAGCAATAGGCCGTAGCTCGTGCCTCGCGCTGTTCCGTTCATGCACCTCCACGGACGGGGTATTCGGGGGCCTCGGGCCTGGGCCTTTACCGCGGATATTGGGGGTGGCAGGGTCGTAGAGACTAGGGGGGTTGTAATACTTGTCAAGGCAGAGCTAATCATATGGCCCCTGGTCGTTGCGGACATTCGGCTCTGCTCCTCGGCGCAGACGGTGATACAACCGTGGTGCAGCCCGGGATGCAGGAGATGCTTCCCCCCGAGCCACTAATGCGCGCGAGGACCAGGAAGACGGAGTTGGAAGGAGTGGATGGCGGGTTGCTTTCTAGAACGACGTGCAGGAGAGATAGTGGGTTGGTGGCATGTCCGTTTGATTAGTGTATATGCATGCAGATGTTTCTAGATATATGGGCACATGCATATATGTACGATGGAGGGAGCAGGGTTTACGGAGGAAATGATGGTGTGTACGAGCACGCGGGATAGAGTCACCATGCATTCATTTCTTGGAAAGTTAGAGTCGAGTCTCATGCTCAAGGCATGGATATAGAAGAGTAGATTCCTCGAGGCCTTGGCTTGGCCGCTGATATAGACGTGGGTGGGCATGTATGATGCAGTCGAGTCGAGGTCTGTGGCACCATATACCGGGACTGATATAGGACATACGCGCGTATCTCGGGTCCGATATTCGGGTTTGTTCTATTCGTGATATATAGCTTATATTGAATGTTGCCTATAGCCCGTCGTTCGTATTCTAAATCTTGTAGCTTTCGTGGATATAGCTTGCAGTCTGAAGTCTAGATAATGAGGCTAGAAGTGGAAAGCAGACATATGCCCTGACTTGAGCTTTCCTTTCCCATTGTCTTGTTAGGAGTTGCTTGTGACGTCTTGGTGTTTCCTTTTGATATTGGCTAGCCCCGTTCCTGACAAGCCCAAAGAAGAACTAGCATGAACCGCCCCGAGTTGACCTGTCACTTGAACCCAATTTCAGCCTCAGCCCTATGGAAAATGGTATATAAAAATAGGATATTCCCAGAAGAGTCTCTTCACAGTTCCCTTAAAAGAAAACATGAAACAAATCAGCGAGTCAATTCCACGTTCCCAATTAAAGCCAGCCAAATCGCTATAACGCTAAACGATAACCGCCCTGTCATATTCAGCAACCATATCAAACCTCATTTCTACTCAGTAGGCTGCCATCGCCACCCTGCTGGATCAAAGCAAACCTCAAAATCCACGCCCCCAAATAACCCCACAGCCCCGTACATGTCAAAGTCCCCCTCTAACCCCTCCACGTCTCCAGCTTGCTCATCCCTCTCCTCATGCAGGTCCCACCCACCCGCTGGACGCCCATCGCGCGTGAAAAAGACCTCGACCTTGCAGATCTTCTTGACACCAAACATTGCATCGGCCATCACAAGCGGATCCTCCGGCAGCGCAAACTTCATCCCAATCCCCAGCGTCTCGCCAACCGTGAACGGCGTGGTAAAGTCACGCCCACCCCAGGAGTCATTCACGAAGCGACATCCGTCGTCTGAAAACACACCTAGACTACCACGCTCCCATCCTGGCGACCGCCATGAAGGATATGGCTGCGCCGCAAAGCCCAGAGAAAGCCCACTGGTATCACCACCGGGCCCTGCGCGGAGTGCGAGCAGCTTGACCTCGAAATAGATCGTCTTGCGTTGCTCGGTGATGAAGGGGGAGTCTTGGGCGGCAAAGTACAGAGGGAGATGGGTCAGTACGCAACAGTCTCCGTTGTAGTCGACGGTGCGCCCAATCCAGCGACCCGGTGCCGTAGGCGTGAGTTGACCCGCAAACTCGCGGTGCTGGACGGGTCGTAGGTCGTGTTTAGCCACGGACGTGTAGACTGCAGCTGAAGGCACTACTGGCAGCCAGAGAGGTGTGGAGTCACAAAAGTTATGGGCGCGCTGAGCATCGTCGGCGGAGGCGTTGCCCGTGCCCGAGCTGTAGTTGCCTGAGATGGGTGGTGGTGGGAAGACTGATGTGTCTGGCACGGCTTCTTGCCAATTATGGTAGGGTGGAGGGTCACCTGGTGGATACTGCGAGCCCTGTGGCGGATTTTGCTGAAGGTTATATTGATGTTGCTGCTTTTCTAGACCATAGGAGCTGCCTTGGAATCCAGCTGGTGCTGCTGCTGACGACGATGCTGCTTGCTGAGAATCGTCATAGCTCGGCGGAGCATTGGAGATGTTATTTCCTGGCATGTGCGCCATGTTGGACCACCGGTGTGGAGGAAAAGTATGTCCACTGTGATACTCGTACTGGTCCTGATCGTGATGATGATGATGATGATGATGATAATGGCAAATCCAGCTGAGCCTTTTTGGCTTTTGGAGAGAATCAAGTTGTCAACTTGTCATGAAGTCCCACGGGTCTGCCAAGCGGGGGCTGTGCGGCTGAGAGCCGTGGGAATGGTCGGTGGATGTATTTTCCCCAACTGCCAAAGAGAACTCACGATATCGTGATATTTACATTTGGTTCAGAACTCAGTTCGGAAGGGGGTTTCGTGTTTGGACTGCTCTTTGGCTCTTTTCCGGTGGAGGCTGGACTGGCTGTGGTGGTGCGAGAAGTGGTGCGGCGCATTTACAATTCAGCCACTTTGCTGACGGTCTCTCTCTCTCTTGACAGAGACAGGCGGGCTGCAGGAGTAGCTGATCTCCGATCCTTCAAGTGGATGATGTTGATATATTTGCTCTTCATCAGAGTAGCTCAAGTAGATGATGGCCAGAATGAACATTTTCTCCACTTCAGATTCGCACAATCGGAGCAGTCACAAAGAGCCAGTCCCCCCAAAAGAGAAACTAAGAATAGTTTGGAGCTGCAGGTCTCAGATCGGCCCAGTGAACACTGCCGTTCGAGCCCAGTCAAGCCATTGCAGACCCTTTTCCCAGTGGCGAGTTGGAAAGTTTCTTCTTCTTCAATTTCCTGTCGTGCAATTGTCCATCTCCTTTCTGTGCGAGCCCTGCCGGGCCTTCCTGTCGTTGGGCGCTCCGTTAGGGGGGTTCTTTCGACTGGTCCTTTACTTTTTTTCCCTATACTTCGTCCACAAATTATCCCTCGATCGTCCTCGCTGCGGTCAACCGTGAAGCCTCCTTTCATGCTTGCTGCTCTTCTCGCGATCGTCCATTGTTGGAATGGTGCACTCTGATGAGCAGATGCAAGATGCCAGACGATCAGATTCAGCCCCGCAGGCGACAGCGATCCTCCATCACCGAACGCATCCAACGAGCTCTTCACGTTGATCGGTCAGATAAGGTACGGCACAACCTCACCTCGGCCAGACTCGGGCTCACAGAATCATAGAAACGACAGAGCTTCTCTCCAGGAGATGATCAGAATGGGCTTCACCACGGCCAGTCGGCGCAATTTACATCTCAAGTCCACGCGGCAGAGGGCGCGCGCATTCATCAGACAGAGACAGCTACTGGTCAATACACTCCAACGGGCTACTCCCTCCAGGATGAAACGCTCCCTAGCACACTAACATACTCATCACAAGACTCTCGTCTGCCATCTACATACACGCCTGGCTCAAGCCCCTCGGTTCGACCAGGGCATTACCAGGATGAACAACCCACCCCTCGAGACTTGGCAACGCCCGACACGAGAAAGTCCAGAGACAAGGACGACATTTGCTCCTCTCCCACATGGAAGGAGACTGCTCGGAAAGAAAGGCGGGCGACTAAGCGACTGGAAGCGGAGAGAAAAGAGCTCGAGAAACGACTACAGAAACTGGAAGAATCTCAGGCCAGACTGGACAACGGGATCTACGACAGGCAATCCCGACGTCTGACCAAAAAGCAACCCCTAGAAAATGCGAATAGATCGTCCAGTGCCAATTCAGAAAGACCTCGATCCTCCCGGTCTCTGTCAGCGTTCTTTTCAGGATCCCGCCGGTCCTCCCGATCGCGAGCCAGCTCTGCCACTGGAAATGAGCGACGTCGATCTTCTGATCACGAGAATCTGGGAGGAGAAGGAGGGCCGCCAACTCTGCCTCTCTCCTTACCCGAGCGTTTCGGGACTGCGGTATCTCGAGAACTGGCATCCAGGCAGGGGACTTCGCTAATGCCCAGTCACCAGCTCCAACGCACGTCCCATCTACTTCATCACACCGCCACCAAGTCGGATGATCTTCGAGAGAACTGGAAGATGGCGGAGGCATGGCAAAGGCAGAACAGTGAGCGTGAGACCAGTGATTTTCTGACCGGCTCCAAGATGGAATTAGGCATGAATGCTGGTGGTGGCTCTGGTGCCCAGCCTATATCAGAGTCCTTCCAGAAACGAGATGAGCTGCCTGCGTACCCTTCATTGACAAGTTCCACTCTTGACCTCGACCGTGAGCTGTTTACTGCGAGTCTCAGACAGGAGGTCAAACCCTCGGGGTCACAAACGCCTAAAGCTCGGTCAAGTCGACGACAGGGAGGCTTCTCAGCTTCACAAGGTCAGAACCATTCTCATTCTGCTGAATCTCCAACCCGAGTGACCACGGCTCGTCAACTTCAAAATATTGCAAGTGAAGAGGATAATAACCGCTCATCACATATGAAATTTCCCTCTTCAGGTTCCCTTCCCAAGGAAATGAGGAACGGCACGGATCCCATCCCACACGCGCATCAGAAGGAGTACAAATCGTCTCCTCTGTCCTTGAACCCTGTCACAACCGACGAAAATGACCCGAAGAAAGAAAACAATAAACCGGATAAACCGGCCAGGACTTCGGGGCCCCAAAAGAATACCCGTGAACTGGTTCCTCAGCCTCTACGGATCAATCTTGAATTTTCTCATGGACGGAATCGACAAGCTTCATATCCTTCACCATCGGACATGTCTCAAGGCCGAGCTAAGCAGCTCGCTCGTCAGGACCGGGTGACAGTTATGGGCCCAGTAGAAATCCCTCTTGGGGAATTCAAGCAAAATCAGCGAATAGGGAACCCAAACCCTATTGCCTTTGATAAATCCAAGCCTACAGCATGGGAATTCAGACCCCGTCCATCCGTGATCCCTCCGTTGAAGCATCCAGGCCGAAAGTATGCTCTTTCGGAGAACTCACCCTATGGTCGATTAAGCTACGAGGGTCAACCGATTCCAACCATCATCACGACAGAGGCTGTACCAGTGACTCGTTCACAAGAATCGGTTCCCCACATTCGCCACTCCCTGGCAGAAATGCCGGCCAGCATGTCCACTCCAAATGTACTGGCCGGTCGAGTACATAGTCGGTCATCGTCGGGGGCATCCAGCTATGATACCGCCGATGAAGAAGTCCTCGACACACCAAACCACCCCCCACATCGAAAAGATACCACTGCTGGCCCGGAGCCTCATGAGACAGACCCCTCCAGCCCACATACTACCACAATCACCCCCCAAGACAGGCCCGTGACGAATGAAATCCAAATCACCAATCCAAACCCCCGAACCAACCCACCCCTCGCCCCAGACGGCGTGGTATCAATGATACGGCATAATCCAATACCAAAACCCAAACAACTGAAAAAAGATCAACTAATCGCCAAATTATTCGTCATCTGCTGTCGCTGCCAATACTGGCATGACCTTCCATCCGAACTCTATGCCAAACTCGCCTGTCCCGAACGCATCCCATCCGAATCCCATCTAGTCCGCACTTTCTCGCGACGCAATCCAATGGGCCGGCGGACTTCGTTTAAAAAGTCTGTTTTTGGAAGCCGCTCTGCGGATGGGACTGTGCGGCGTTTGGCGATGGGGAAACAGGGAGTGTCTTTGAATGAAATGCAGCTCGCTGGTGGTGGTAGTGGCGGCGGTGGTTTTGGTGGTCAGACTGAGATTGATCGTGCTGTGGCTCAGTCGGCGTCTTTGGCTTGCTGTTGGTGTGAACATGGGATGAATCGAGCGTGTTGTCAGGGGTGGACGACTCTTGTGCAGATGCGTGAGAGACACCACTAGGAGGAGGGTGAATGCTTGCTTCCATGGCGATGGGTGCTGCTATGATTACTCGGGGTGATTGTGACGAACATGACGACTTTGACGAAATGGTTCCAAAATGGTTGATGATATGATGAGCAGCATGGTTATCAAGGGGAATTTCAGCCCTGATCTTGTATGATTCTCTACCAATTTTGTTTCTATGATGGCCATGGGGCAACCAGGCCTTTGATTTTCTATGATGTATTACAGGTTAATATTAATTAATTTTTCCACAGACCGAGTTGCTATGAAATAGTAGTATTTGAAAAGCAGTATATTCAAGTCAAGGCCACATCTATAGTACCTAGAGCGTGAATCGCGTTATTCTTTCCATGTTGAGTCCGAGGGAGCCTTAAAAGGATCACTTGGCATTGTACCGCCACATAAGAGGATCGTCACACGTGGAGAACCCTCCACATTGACATCATTCTTCAATGTGAGGCTCTTTACAGGTATTACGTCAAACTCCAATCTCTATGTGGGGAAACATCAAGGCAATACCTGAATATCAAGACAGAAAGTACTCAACAGATAGCACAGATCTAGTCGCAAATCTACTCCCCTATACACAGTGCACAACAAGACCAAGATTACACCCTAAAATTGCAAGGCAAACTCAAACAACAAATTTCGAGGTATGTGTTTCCAAGATCATCAATCCAAGCGGTCAGAAGACACGGAAAAACTAAACAAAAAAAAGAGTCTTGGATGACGTGAACAGAGTCGGTAAGGAAGGTAAGAAGAAGAAAATAATTTGGGTCCAAAGGGTATAGGCATCAAGAAGTCGGTAGAATCATCACAAAAACCGTGATCGTCGAGAAGGTAGAAAGAAAAAGGTGTATCGGAAGAATATGTATGAAGAAAGGAAATAAGCAAAAAAAAAAGGAAACTGTGGGGGTATTCAACCCAAAGGGTTCCGAAAAAGACATGGGAGAACTTGAAGGTGAAGCATCATCAATTCAAGATGGCGGTCCTGTTTTTAGCGCCAGCGGCTAGGCTGCGCTGCGGATCGTCAAGATCCGTATTTGGGCGCGTAGCATATGCTCCTGCTGAGCCTGGGATGTCATTCTGAAGCAGTCCCTTTAAACCATGAGCAGGCCAGCGACAGCAACCACACCGGCAGCCATGGCACCAGAGACCTGGCGCATGGAGGCGCCGTTCGAGTGCGCAGAGGTGGAGGTGGAGGCCGGCGCAGGAGCAGCAGTCTGGGTGTTGGTCTCGACAAAGGTGGAGGTGCTCGGGATCAAGGGGGTAGAAGTGACACGGCTGAACGAGGAGCTGGAGGAGACCGGGGTGCTGGTAGGCGTAGGAGTGTTGGTGGGAGTTGGGGTCGAGGTAGGAGTGGGAGTCGGGGTCGACGAGGGAGAAGTATAACCAGAAGGCACCAGGGTGATGGTGCTGGTCACTCCGGGCACGGAAGCAGCCTGCTCAGCGGCGAAGGCCATGGGCGCGAGGGCCGAAGCGAGGAGGAGGAGAGTCTTGGTGAACTGCATTGTGGGTGGAATGTGTGATGCTGTGGTGGTGGTTGGGTTTTGTTATGGTTTGATATTGGTTTGTTTATTTTTGAATGATCCGAGAGTTGGTTTAAAAGAGTGAATGGAGTTGGAAGTAACGAATGCGACAGCCCGTGGGAGGGGGGATCAAACGAATGACGCTGCTTTCGAGGAAGACAGAAGAGGTTTTATGCAGGAAGAGAAGGGAAAAGGGAAAAGGGTCAAGAGGTGAGAAACGGGAAATGAAGGCCCCATTTTCGAGGGGGCCACTTGCCCTTTTCGGGTCTAGCGCGGGCTGTTGCAGACGTAACCCGCTCGACAAGCGGAATGTGTTTAAGATTACATATACACATATGCATGGATTATGGATGATGGAGTTCCTGGTGGTACTAATTTCATAACGAGTGTGATGGTCAAAGACTTCAGTCATGAGCCAGGATTAATATACAGAATTCGTGAAAAAAAAAACGGGGGTATCAAGAGTATCCCAGGGGAAAGGTATACAAAACAGCCACGCAGCAACAAACAGCCATCCCAAAACGCTCGTCAGACAAAGTCAAGCTTGGCATGCGGCCAGCTCGCTCTTTGCAGCCAAGAAACGGCACAAGATTCCAAACGGGAATCGAAAAACATACTGTAGTCGGCCACCAGGAAAAAAGAAAGGTGAAATCATAATACGAAAAGCAACACTTGCCCTCGGTCATAAAAAGAATAGAATCATTCAATCCGCCCATCGTCCCGTGTCGTGTGTCGTCTATTCAAAAAAAAAGTATCGGGCAATTAGAATGACCACACGGTCGCTGCAACCACGGCCACCATCACCCAGTACCCGCTAGCATTGATCAGAGTCACCAGAGGACCCGGGGCAGCCCCCGAGGTGGAGGAACTCGTGGTCCCGTCGTCGGCAGTCGTGCCATTGGCCAAAGTCCCGTTGATCACGATCTTCTCGGTACCATTGACATTGACCACTCGGGCGACGGACGTGTTATGTGGCTGGGTACCGTTGAACAAAGACTCGTAGTAGGTGCTGTTGTTGTTATCATCACAGCCACACTCCTGGTTCTCCTCACAGAGGCAGACCACGGGCAGCGACTGGTTCCGGTGGCTGGTATTGTCTTGATAGTAATAGGGGTGGCCATAAGGGTAGGCGTATGCCCCTAAGAGCCACACGCCAGGGAAGAATGCCAGCGCGGCGGCTGGCAAAAGGAAGGGCGTGATGCCCGATGCTGATCTGGAACCGGCCGTATAGGGACTTCGGGCGCCGCCTGCATAATATCTGTTGTTGCCGAATGTCTTAGCTTTAGGGGTCTTTCTTTTAGGGGACTTCGCGCCGGTGGTCCTGCTGGACCCTGAATTCCACATCCAGGGCCACAAAGATCCACCACTACTGCCACTCCGAGAGGAGCCATAGATTGTGCCGTGAGAAGGATTGCTGTAATCATACCTGCCGCCGCCGAAGGATGGGGAAACCCCAGAGCCTCCGCTGGACGAGCCGCCTCGGTTGCTGGACGAGCTCGAACTACCACTGCTGGTGGTCCCTCCCCGACTAGAGCCACTGGAAGAACTGCTGGAAGAACTACCAGAGCTGCCTCCACTGCTTCCACTGGAGCTGGAACTGGAACCGGAACTGGAGCCTCCTCCACTCCGTCCACCGCCACCTCCACCACCGCGTCGTTTTTCGAGGTCGACGAATTGCGCATCGACTAGTGCTGGATCGGCATCGCGCTCAATGAGATCGGATTCAGAAGTAAATGGAATAGATAAAGAGGTCACACCCTGGGAGCCCAGGAGAAGGACCGCCGTTGCCCAGGCCAACTTCATGTTGACAATGATGTCAGATCTGAGATCTCGAGAATGTGGGTTGGTACCTTTGTATCGATGTCACTTTAATCAAGACAACCCGGGGTAAGAGTAGTTCTGAGTGCAAAGCAAAAGGGGAAGAGGGAGTGTATTTAAAAAAGGGAAAGAGAATACGACGGGAACATAACCAAAGAAAAACAGGGTCTCGGCGGCTGAAATGGGCGGAGACTAAGCCCCGAGCGGAGGGTCGGACACGAGCAAAGCACCGCCCCCCTCCCCAAGTTGCTTGAATGGAATTCTGGATCACTGTGGGACTGGGCACTAGACGCGAATACGAGGGGAAGCTTAAGGAGTAAGGTGACTAAGATCACTAAGTTAGTAAGTTGTAACTGACTCGCTAAGGGGACTTGGGCCGGAAGGCTGAGGCTGAGCCGGAGGCTTAGCCAATTAGTGCCTGATTCAATGACCATGGATTAGTGGAACCAAATTCTTCTGACCACATGCGATGTGCTGTCAGCTTGTAACTACGAGGTGCAACTACGGAGTACGGCAAAGGAAACGGAGTATAACTCCGCCTGGAGATCTTGGAACAAGTTAGTAGTAGTGGGCCAGTGCTTACTATCCCACTACATACAGGAGTTTATTGGACTAAACACGACTCCGCCACCATCGTATTATTATTCCTTCCATTTCCTTTCTGAGTCCAGTTGGATTGTTGGATACAGTAACTAAGTAGTTTTTCTTTGTCCGTTTCTAGAATACTTGGCTGCAGAGTTATGCACATTCATCCAGTATTGTACTGTAGGTATGCTATGTATCTGTTCTTGTATAAGTCATTACTCTCCAACTCGTATATATTGGAAAAGAATTATCCGATACAGGAGGGTTTCTTGGACCTCCGGCACTGCCATCGGCAATGACGGCATTTCTAGTAAGACCCTGCATCGTCTTCTCATTTACCCACACAAGATGATCGCATTAGATCATCATAGCCCCCCACGGGGTGGCCAACTACGGACTCCATCATAATCAGATCGGTCATCATCTCGATCAAGATTCAACGGTCGATCTACAGTAGGTACATGACCTGATCGCTCTCCTTGACTACTGTACAGTAATATGATATCGAACTGGATTTGCCTCTCGGTATAAACTATACATCATTATATCGCCTCATGTCTTGGACGGACAGGCCCGTTCGCACTCAGCCTTGTTGCTCTGGCTCCAATGTAACTATCTCCTCGGCCATTATTATTATTCATGCGAGGCTCCGTACCGAGAGCGCCAAGAAAAAAGGGTTGGAGCGGTGAATGATCGAGTGGGGGTTGAGTACGAGCTAAGCCATTATCATCATTATCCTCCTTTTATCCTGTACACAACAGTACTTCCCTCCTGTACGCCGCCAGTCTGACCAACGATGGCCGTTGTGTACATTCTCAAGTCAGCGTAGATATCGAGAGGACTCCAATATTATACATCTGTAAATCTTGTAACATGCGATCCAAGACCATCATTACTGGTGATATACCACTAGTAGTACATAATAAAAACTGTATATACTGGAGTGATGTACCATGATAGTCCCGTTCACAGTCCCACATGCGATCTCCGCCTGATCCTCGGCGGTCGGCGCCTTCACTTTCGGGCAGCCAGCATAGCCTGGCGTCACCGTCAACACAGAAGATCCTCCCCCCCCCCCCCCGCCAACCTCTCTCTCTCTTTGCCTCCCAACGTTCCACCTGTTGCTTCCAATCTGGTGCCATGGTGCGCCCGAGGGGTCTCTCCAACTCCTCCTCCGTCTCCTCAGTTCCCGACCAGGACCAGGTATGCTACATCCCGCCGACTTCCCCAGCCCGCCCCTGGGTAGCTCCCTCACACCCCCGCAATGGCCGCATTAACTCGGGTTCTCTGGGTAGGAACTGGGGAGCATGTATGATTACCTCGCCAAGGTGATCTTACTTGGTCCTAGCGGGGCTGGAAAGTGAGTATCAGTATTTCCCAGCATGCCGGAACAAGAAGACCTGCACAAACGGATCTCGGGGACATGTGCTAACCATCCGTACTACTCTATCATCAGGTCCTGCGTGCTACACCGTTTCGTGAAGAATGAATGTACGAATCTCCCTGATTTACTGCGCGCTGTCCCCTAAGTTTCCAGCAACCTTTGTGTTGACTCTCCTACCCAATCTCTCCAGGGCGAGTTCTCTCCTCGCAGACTATCGGCGTCGAATTCTCCTCTCGCATCGTCAAGCTCGGCACAGGCTCTCGGCGCCGGCGCATCAAGCTGCAGCTCTGGGATACAGCCGGTACCGAGCGCTTCCGATCTGTCTCTCGTTCCTACTACCGCGGCGCCGCTGGCGCCATCCTCGTCTACGATGTCTCCTCCTCCGCTTCTTTCGCTGCGCTCCCGACATTTCTGATGGATGCGCGCGCACTCGCTTCGCCGAACTTGACTGTCTTGCTGGCAGGAAATAAAGCGGATTTGGCAGATTCGACAGCTTCGTCTGATTACCACGATGATGCACACCGACCCCCACCAACCCCCTCGAGTACCTCGAGTAAACAATCGTCTCTTCCATTCGATGCGATGGGCTCTGTGCGCTCCACGACATACTTGGGCCCCGGGACGAGAATGACTGCCTCGCTTGCCGAGGGTCGCGAGGTTAGTAAGGAGGATACCGCGCGCTGGGCCGCGCAGTCGAATATTCCCGTTGCGGTTGAGATATCCGCTCTGACGGGCGAGGGCGTGGAAGAAGTCTTTCAGCGGCTAGCCCGTATTATCCTGACCAAGATCGAGCTTGGAGAGATCGACCCGGATGACCCGCAGAGCGGGATTCAATATGGAGATGGGGCCATGTATGGCCACGGTGCTAGCGATGCCTCGAGTATCCGGAGCCGAGCCACGCTGGATGAGAATGCGTTATCACTGCACCGGCCCTCGAGGCGAAAAGGCAGGCCGGGATCTGGTTGGAAAGGTGGGATGAGAGAGTGGGAGGATGTATTCCGGCTAGGCGGATCGTCATCGCGGAGGAATCGGACTTGTTGTTGAGGGAGAACGCTCTCGCCGTTGATTTGGTTTCGATAATTGAGGAGCAAGATGGATGGGAATTTTGTGTTTTGGGTTTCTTTTTTAACTTGTCTTTCCTTCCGTCATTGCACGATACCCCCTTTCTGACGTTCGTTTTGTGAGTTTTACCTTTTCTGGCAGATGCTTACGGATGTTTTTTACTTGTGTATACGGTCCCCCAATGTACATCATATAGATGTACGGGCACTTTCAATTCAAGCATTCTATTTGGAACAATTGCCGTGTCTCCTGCTGTTTGGTACCAGGAGCTTTCCCCCGACTGTCTTTCAATGGAGATTCCATCCAGTGACCTCGTGACTTCAGAGCTGATTTAGGGCAACGGATCCACACGTTTCCTTCGATAGTCTCGTCATACTGCTTGCTTTAGATTTCTCATTATCCTTTTTGGTCGAGGTGTAACATAAACTTCGAACAGATCAACCATTAATCACTTTTTTTGTTTCATTCTCATGAGCCACAAGAGGTTCTGGCTTCAAATATCATTAAAATATTCATATCGTTCTTCTTCGTATTTGGTATCGTCCTTTACTCATCAATACCAGCAATGAGCGTCTTAATGCCCTTGCCAGCCTTGACCTCATTGAATGCATTTTCAGCTTCCTCAAACTTGACTGTGCCCGTAATCAACTTCTTCACATCCACCTTGCCCGACGAGGCCAGTTCCACCGCCAGCTTGTAGTCACCGCTACCATAGCGGAAGCTACCCCGGAGGGTCAACTCCTTGGAGCACGCTGCCATGATGGGGAACTGGATCTCGCTGCGGCCCATGCCACCCTGCACGTAGGTACCGCCGTTGCGGAGGACGTGGATACCAGTGTGGACGGAGGGCTCAGCGCCCGAGGCATCAATGGCCACGTCTGCGCCAGCACCGAGGCCGTTCTCCTGGCGCAGTCGCTCTGCGTTCTCGGTGGCAGCCACCTTGGACGGCATGAAGGTCGATGTGGTCGCGTACTCCTTGGCAAAGTCCAATCGGGACTGCTGGATGTCCACTGCAATCACCTTCGATGCGCCAAAGGCCGTCGCCACCGCGCAGCACAGCAGTCCGACGGGGCCTGCGCCGAAGACCACCACGGATTGTCCGGGGTTGACCCGAGCCTGGCGGACGATGTGAACGGCCACACTCAGCGGCTCCATGAGGGCACCTTCCTGCAGCGAGAGGTTCTCGGGCAGCTTGTAGCAGAAGTCCTCGGGGAGGACGTAGTATTTGGCCAGAGTACCGTCATAGGGCGGGGTCGCGGCAAAGGCCATGTTCTCGCAGAGGTTGTACTTGCCAGCCTTGCAGGGCTCGCATCGTCGGCAAGAAATACCGGGCTCCATGGCGACACGGTCGCCCACCTTCAGCGTCGTCACGGCCGAACCCACCTGGGTGATCACACCGGCCGACTCATGGCCCAGCACCATGGGGTCCTTGACGATGAAGTGCCCGATCGAACCGTGCTCCCAGTAGTGCACCTAAAAGTGAAGCAGATTCCGGGTCAGCTTCGAATTTCACATTGCCGAGCTCTCGTCCCCCCTCGTACGTTGATTGCGGAGCATGCTAGGGGGAGCATGACGGTATTTCGTGTTACATACATCACTTCCGCAAATTCCGGTGTATTTGACATTGATCAGAACATCGTGGGGGTTCTTCAGGGCGGGAATTGGGCGGTCTTCGAATTTGACCTTGTGAATACCCTCCAACACAAAGGACAGGTTCTGTTGCGGTCTGTTAGCCAGGGCGGTTGGTTTGACTTGGGTCGTGGCGGGGGGTGGAGGGCGGGGCGAGGGGCATCGCATTTAGCCATTTATTTACCTTGGCCGTCTCGGATGAAGTCATGGTGGGAGCGGAATGGAGATGGGGAAGTAAAGCAGGAGGGAGGTAGAGAGGGAGGTGGCGGAAAGAAGAAAGGATGGATGAATGAGAGGAATGGGAAAAGAAGGAAGGGAGACGTATGGGAAGATATAAGGATGGCGATGGTTGCAGGAAATTTATTTATAAAATCGAGGCCGCCGGCAAAAATGGGAATGAACCGAGCTGGAGCTCCCCGCAATTTGACTTTTTTAAGTGCAATTGCCAGGGCTAGACGAGTCTCATCCTACCACTCCGTACAGTCCTGGGGAGTCACTGCTTACGGCAATTCGTTCAGTCGAAATTCGGGCGACTTGCCTTTGGTGGATCCAATTGGGATTTTAACCGCCGAAGGGGCCCTTTACCCGATTTTGCCTTAAATGGACAGTGTCCACTTTGTTCGTCTGAGTTCCTGCTAACGGCACGATCTTAACCTGTCCACCTGACAGGAGAGATTTTTCGGTTGCGATGGATCTGGTAACTAGTTAACGAGTGACTGTCCAGGTCCAAGTGGAGAACGGGACTGTACAGTGTACAGGTGATCGAGTCGAGGTGACGTGGTTATGCTGGACGGGTAATATCCCACTCACATATTCCATTCTTGGCAATAATAAGTAATCTTTAAACATATCATGACCAATAATAATATATATCCTGCTATGGCTGATATTTAATTCCTGATTCGAGAACTATATCTTGCCACGAAATAGTCCACCCGAGGGCCAACTCGATGCCGTAGCCAACAGCCTCAACCAATTGGCTCGATCGGAGATGAGATCATCAAGTCAACTTAAAGCATCGCATTGAGTGAATATAATCATCATCACTATTATCATCGATGTAGATTATCAGACATCCCATGTCCGTTACACTGCCCAGAAAGGAACCCGACCGATAAATGCGGTCTTCCGCGCTGCCCGCGCCAAGCCCGCGACTTCATCGAACTTCCTCCGCCTCCACTTCTGCAATTCACCGTCCTCGAGCTACTCGCTCTACACACCCATCATGGTCCGCCCACATAGCTCCATCCTTCGGGGAGCTCTGCGTACCATTCAACCTCGCCCAGCTACGGGCATCCCACAGCAAAGACTTTTTGCCGCCTCTGCACGATGCCGCGCCAACGAAAAGCAGCAAGCTTCCTTCAAGAGCCAGCTCTATGAAAGCACCCAGCAGCGTCTGAAGCGCGAGCGCGCGGAGCAGGAGCGCTTCGCTCAATATCAGACTCAATCGTCTGGTGGTCGCTATGCTGCCATGATGTTCGGTATGGTAACCAATTCCATGTTCTCTGGATCCACGGCCGATTTCAGTCAATGTCTCCGCCCAATGCTAACTAACGTATTCTGTCACACATTATAGCTTTGATCTTCTTCTCATCCGGCGCTTATTACCTCGGATCCCTCAAACCTGCTGCCCTCCCCACCTCCTCTACTACCTCCCTTGCAGACCTCGAGCCCCCCAAGCACAATGTCTCCCAGTCCAATCTACAGGCCGCTTGGTCCGACTTTGTCGAGATCCTCGGCAAAGAGAACGTCTCAACCTCCCCCGGTGATCTCGAGACGCATGCTGGCTCTGACTGGTCCTCTTATACTCGCAAGGAGGACGAGAAACCCTTCCTCATCCTCTATCCCGCCTCTACCGAGGAGGTCTCACGTATCATGAAAGTTTGTCATCAGCGCGTCATTCCCGTTACCCCGTACTCGGGCGGAACCAGTCTGGAGGGCCACTTTGCATCCACTCGTGGCGGCGTATGCATTGACTTCCGTCGTATGAACCGCATTTTGGACCTTCACAAGCGTGATTTGGATGTCGTGGTCCAGCCCGCCGTTGGCTGGGAGGACTTGAACGAGGAACTCGCCAAGGATGGCCTTTTCTTCCCCCGGACCCCGGTCCCGGTGCCATGATTGGTGGAATGGTTGGTACGGGTTGCTCAGGCACGAATGCCTATCGGTACGGCACAATGCGCGAGTGGGTGCTCTCATTGACCGTCGTTTTGGCCGATGGAACGGTTATAAAGACCCGCCAGCGTCCACGCAAGTCCAGCGCCGGCTATGACTTGACGAAACTCTTCATCGGCAGCGAGGGTACCCTCGGCCTAATCACCGAGGCGACTTTGAAGTTGACAGTCACGCCCGCCAGCCAGAACGTTGCCGTGGCTAGCTTCCCTAGCATTCAGAATGCCGCCGAGTGCGTCACTCACGTCGTCGAGGCGGGTATTCCCGTCGCAGGCGTTGAGATCCTTGACGATGTGCAAATGAAGTGCATCAATGCCAGTGGGTCCACCAGTCGCGAGTGGAAGGAGTCTCCTACCATCTTCTTCCGCTTCGCCGGCACTCCCGGCGCCGTGAAGGAGCAAGTTGGTATGGTGCAGAAGATCGCTTCCAAGACCGCTAGCAAATCCTTCGAGTTTGCCCGCGGCGATGAGGAGATGGCTGAACTGTGGAGCGCCCGTAAGGCTGCGCTGTGGAGTGTCATGGCCATGCGCAGAAACCCCGATGACCATGTCTGGACCACCGATGTCGCAGTTCCCATGAGCAGACTGCCCGACATAATCGATGCCACCAAGGCTGATATGGCCAAGAGTGGCCTGTTGGCTGGTATCTGTGGCCACGTTGGGGATGGTAACTTCCACGGTAAGCTAGTCCTTCTCCCGTCTGAAGCCTGAAACGGCGCCGCTCTTTGGGACATGTAGGTTCTAACTCGATTCTAGCCATTATCCTCTTTAGTGACAAGGAGAAGGAAATCGCCGAGGGTGTCGTCCATCGCATGGTCAAGCGGGCCGTGGAGATGGAAGGCACCGTGACTGGCGAGCACGGTGTCGGCCTCGTCAAGCGCGATTATCTTGCCCACGAGCTGGGTGAGTCTACTGTGGACGCTATGCGCCGGGTAAGTCTGAAGAACGCAGATCCTGTCATTTCTATAATCATCACCAATCTAACATGTCGATTTACTTTCTCTAGCTGAAAATGGCCTTTGACCCTCTCCGTTTGCTCAACTGTGACAAGGTTGTCCGTACTGAGCAGCCCGCACCGGGCGAAGTCAAGGAATGGTAAAACCATACGTTCACTTGCCTTCGCGAGCCCGTATCTTGGGTCTAGATCACCTCAGCATTGGACCTGGGGCTTCCCGGTCTAATCCGATCCAGAACCTGAGCGGCGGCGATGGTGATGGTGTCGGCGATGACGCCGTTCGTCTTCACTGCCAGATCTAGAGCCTCTGCTGGAGCGGCGCTCATGGTGAGGTCGGCGCTCGATTATGTCCACTTCGCCGCCGCCGAAGCCCTGGCCATAACTCTCTTCCCGCGGCTGGTATCTCGGTCGCTCATACTCCTCTTCGTACCCTCGGCGCGGTGGTGGTGCACCGTAGCCGGATGAGTACTCCCTGTGATAACAATGTAATCAATACCCATTACCTATATTTAAGGAGTGAAAAAAAAAAGAAGAACCTCTTCTGGTGAGACTTACCGTTCAACGCGTCCATCGCCGTAGCTGGTCTGCTGCACGGTCTCGTAGGTGGACTGGGGGGCTCCGTAGTCAGACCGGGTCTCGGTCCGCTGGTACTCGGTTCGACCGGACTCGTAGGTCTGTCGGCTCTCCTGTTGGTAGCAGCCTCTGTCATCCTGTCGGGATTCCCGGTCCTCCTCGCGCCGGTAGCTCTGCACAGAAGGGGGGTTGGGCGGGAAGTCGTTGCGATATTCGTCGCGAGCATACCCGTTTCGAGCAGGACGCTCGCCGTAGCTGGTTGAGCTGTTATATTCCTGCTGGGGATAGTTGTTGCGAGCAAAGTCGCTGGGGTATTCGTCCCGGCCGTAATCGTTGCGAGGCGCTGGACGGTCATCACGGCCATAGTCGTTGCGAGGGGCCGGACGCTCGTTGTAAGTCGACTCACTCTGATACTCGTACCCTCCTTGACGAGGCGGCGGCGCATAGCCAAACGGCTGTGTCTCGGGCTCTTCACGATGTTCATGGTGGCGTCGACGATTCTCGTGCTTGTGCTCGTTCTCGTCGTCGTCATCATCATCATCATCATTATCACGATTGCCGTATCCGTGGCGCTTGGGGCTCTTTTCTCTCTTGGGGCTCTTTTGTCTCTTCGGGCTGCTTCGGCCTCCAGAGCCGCCATCGTCCAGACCCATGGAGCCAATGCTGCCCACAAGACCGCCGACAAGGCCACCGATGGCTCCTCCGCCCACGGCCTCGGCAGCAATCTTGCCCAGTCCGTTGTCACTAGACTGTTGATAGCCTCCGCTGCTGCCGCCAGTCGTGCCGTGTTTCTTCGGCAGAGAGAGGGGCTTGCCGCATCCATGACCGCAGTCCTCAACGCCCTCTTTGTGGTTTCGGCCCTGCCGAACGCCATCACGGCTGAGTTGGTCGCGAAGGACATCGCGCTCCCGTTCGTCCTTCTCGCTCCACCACCTTTCCACGGTGGAGAACATGATTCCACGAATGTCGGCCGCGCCGTCATCGCCGTATCTGTGCATTGCGGGGTGGTGGAAGACTCCGGAGATGATTCGGTTCAGAGTCCGGTCAATGTCGATATTCTCATCGTCCCAGCATTGCATCAGCTGAGGAACGGTCCACTTGACCACTTCCGAGGCAATTCGGCCCGCTGGCTCGTTAAGGATGTTGGAGAAGTGGTCCTTGGAGAGCATCGAGTGGGTGGGATTTGAGGAGTTGTCGTCATTGAAGACAATGTGCTGCTGATTCCGACTAGACTGAATGACTTCCGAGGAGCCGGTCTCCAGCTCGGACTTGGCCTGCTTGATAATAGGCAGGATGTAGGGAGCGAGCACCGAGAAGACAAAGACGGTGATCTCGTCTTGAACCTGCTCAATCAAGTCTGGAAGGACTGGAATCTTCTCAATGGCCTCGTTGATGCTCTTGAGCAGCTCATCATGCCAGTCGAGAACAGGGTAGATCTGCTTCTGGACATTTTCCAGGTAGCGGGCCCACTCCTCTGGTTGGCGGGGACTGACGTTTTGGCCATCATGGCGGGCATTGTCGGCCTTGGCCTTGAAGTCGTCCATTTTGCCTGCCTGATCGCCGCTGCTGCCAATCAGACCACTGGGGATCTTGCTGAGCAGATCCTGCAGCATGCTCTTGGATGGGCCGTCGTTTTCGGACTCCGAGATCACGCCCTCCAGGGACTGGAGCTCAGACTGCTTGGTCTTGTCCGAGAATTCTCCCAGGACCGAGTGGAAAAAATCGACTCCTCCGAAAGTGCCAGTTACGATGGGATAGACCTCCTCACGGACTCCGCGAATCTGAACCTTGGTGTTGCGGCCGACGTGAGGGAAGACGTTCCTCTCGCCGAGCTCGATCAGGCTGAGCTCGGTATAGTTGGAGTGGGCAGCGTAGTCTTCCAGACAGTGCAGACCGGTTCCGAGCAGACGCAGAGCCTCGTGCAGGTCTTCGTCATTGCGGGAGCGGGCGTAGCGACGGCCGAGTTGAATGGAGCGACCCAGAACACGGCGGATCAGGGCGGCTGAGGTATCAATGCCGAGGTCTTCGGAAGCGATGTAGTTTTTGAGGCCTGGAGGAGGGAAGAAACATGAATCAGCTTGATGATACACTTTGGACATGTGCAAGAAAGGGGAACTGGATCACATACCAGTTCGAGTGTCAATGGACAGCTCACGCTCCTCATCAATGGGTCCCCGGAGACGGCGGTCGTAGCGACGGGCATCGTCACCCTCAGCGTAGCCCAATGGGTTATCGATATGCTCGGTAGGCTGGTAGCAGCCCAAACGCTCGGTGGTGACCTCAAATTCGCGAGTGCCATAGCTAATAGGAAGAAAGTTGTTATTAGCCCTGATGACGGTCTTTTATTTCTTGGATAATTGACGGACCGCAAAACTTACCCAAAGCTCATGAAACCCAGGACCCAGATCAGAATGCGAATGGCCTCGGCACTGACGTGCTTGACGGTGCCCACATCGACAGCCTGACTGTAGTCGCGCAGCCAGTTACCGAAATAGACTCGCTTGACATCGAGCTTGCTGAACTTACGTCCACCCGCAACCCGAGCCAGGAAGAGGGTCAAGAGGGTATCTTCGATATCTCCGTGGCGCCAGTTTTGCCCCTCGATCTTGGAAAGAGAGGCAATGTTGCCCGCACCAAAACCATAAGCCTGGCCGGAGATGGCCAGGATGATCAGGAGGGAGAATGCCAAGCTCTGTAGGGACAGGGCCATGATGTGGAAAAGAGAGGGGCAGATAGAGAGTTGGTGGATTCAAAAATCGTCCCACGGATTCAAGCTCTCAGGGAGACGCAAGGAGAGCAAGAGAAAGAGAAAGTCGAGTTTTGGGCACTTCGGAGCTCCGCTCGTGTCATGATTTCCGTCTGGTTGATTTCTAGGCCCCGCCCACGTTGTTTTTCGCTCTCTCCGATGGTGGGGTCTTGTTTCCTTTGGAAGGTGCCTTTTTCTTGGCTGTTCTTGGCTTGCATCCCGCGTTCGCCAATGGCGAGCGGTTGGCTCCGATTGGGATAGAGACTGGGTATGTTGGTTGGGTCTGAGTCCAGACCGACCGGAGAAGATGGATGACGGCGGATCCAATGAGATTGGGTATGGATCATGATGGATTGTTTTGATTGCGTGGGTATTCTGGGAGGTTGCCAAATTGGCCACCCTGGGGAGGCCGAGGCGGGATGCCAAGGAATTGGGTAAGTAGAAGACGCAAGAGTGTCAATCTTGGAGAGGTTCATCACTGGTGAATCTAATAATCCTACGAGGGATACGGGTTGAAATCGTCGTAACCATCAAAACTATATCAAGCATGCCCCCCAGGTACTAAAGTTATTCCGAGACCGAGGGCTCTTGACTTTCCACTCGCGCCGACCCGTCCGCATGCGTCCAGCCTCATCTCTCAACTCTCAACTCGCGGCCTCTTCTCTTCTCACCGCTTCCCCCCCCCCCAATCCCAGTTCCTCGCTTTCTCTTGCTCTTCTTCTCTTTTCCTCAGCCTGGCCAGAAAAAACGATATTATTTCCTCCTTCTTCTATCTTCCTTCCTTCCGACAACTCTTCAATCCTCCTCCTCACTTCTCCCCTCTCTTCAACACTTGCATCTCCAGACTTTCTTCCCTGCAGCCGTTCCACGTGGGAGGATCTCTTCTCCCGAGCCCCCCCCCCGGACCGCGGACGTCTGCTTATCGGAAATGCGCCCACGCAACCCACGGTCCTCAGCTTCGTGATCACTTCCTCCACCCCCCGCGCGCTTACGTCCTCCTCCTTCCCCGCTCCATTTGGCTCCTCTCTCTATCCCTCTATTGCTTCCTGGTCCCACTCTTCGCCTAAATTCACGCCTTCTCTTAACTCTATCCATCGCGACTCTTTACCTCCCTCTGCGCCGTCAAACCCTCCAACTTCTCCACCCACCACCTCCACAATTGAACCACCCTCCCCCTACCCCCCCGTACCCAACAGCCTCGGTGCCAACGACAACCATGCGCTGTGCGACCCGTTTCTAAGCCTACTCGGATCCAGAAGAGTGTGGAGGGCGTGAAAATCCCCATGGCGCGCTCGGACATGCAGTATGGCCAGGACCCGGCCTTTCCGGTCTCCAGGAACCGGTGGTCGATCGACTCCGCCTCGCGATCAATCTCCAAGCGAAATGCCCGCAAGGGCTCCAAAGCCTCGAGTATGGAAGGCCCTTCAAACATAGATTCGGATTTGTCGCGAGAGCCATTGCCCTTTCCGGCATACTCCGACCCATCTCTATCGTCAGAGCCGAGGGAGTACGGCTCCATGCGCTCCACCAAGACGACCCCAGCAATGAACGCAAGTGACTCGGCTGGAAAATTCGACTCAACCTTCTTCCTCTCGGGCGCGGGGATCAATGACTACATGGACGGCCTCGACAATCGTTCCCACAAGAACAAGCACGGGAAGCCAAAGGTGCATATCAAGCCCATGCTTCGAAAGATGTCGCGCGACGAGGCGACCTCGCAGTCGATTGACCTCTCCCGCTCCTCCACTGAACAGGAGGGACTGGGCATCTTTCTGAACCTGGAACGAGAGCGAGAACGCCGCGAAAGTGAATCGCTGACGGGCGCACCATATCGTCGAACGACCTCCGGCATGCACCACCGATCGACGAGTGGAACGTCGCAATTCTCGATCACGACCGGATCGAGCGGAGGCAAGCCAGCATCGCAGTATGTGTATCCACTGCGTCCAACGCCCCGCGCATACACACCTCCCTTGAGTCAGTCGTACCAGACATCGGCCAATGAGAGCGATGACCTGGATGAGGGAAGCCCGGAAACCCAGGCAAAGATGCTGTCGGGTGCAGAGCCTCCCCGGACAGCTCGTGCCTCCTCGGGTCCAATCCCACGTTTATCCTTACAGATCGATGACGACTCATTTACCCGCTTGCCGGGTATCTCCCAGACCAACGTCACTGGTCGCCCATCGTTCGGATACTCGCGCGATAACGGAAGCATCGTGGACACCGCATCGCCCATCTCACGCCCCTCGCTGGACCATGTTTTTCGAAGCCGCACTCGGACCAGTACGGATCCCGTCTCAAGAGCCGCAACCATCCAAGCGGCACGGCAGGCGTTCGAGGAGAAAGAGGCCGCCAAGGCTCGCCGCCTCGAGAAGCAACAGATCAAGGCGGATGAGCGACAGACCCGGCGCTTGGTAAAGCGCAACTCGCCCGAAGCCCAGGGCTCTCCAGCCACCCAGTCTCGGGAAGAAATTTCCGAAAAGAAGGGGAACAACAAGGACAACCAGTGGGCCAAGGCATACAGCGATGAGCCGTCTGTATCGTGGAAGTCCCAATCGAAGAGCAACTGGGTGCTCTTCATGACGTGGCTCCGCACGCGGGTGTTCAAGTTCCGTCGACGAATTCGCAAGATGACCTGAGTCGGGAGTTGTTTTCTTTTTCTTTTTCTCTTTTCTTGTTTTTTACCTATCATCTAGCGATTTCGTTTTCCGCGACGGGGGCCATTGTGCAGCTTTTTCTGGGTGGAGTTTCTAGGCCACAAGGATTCGGAGTGTGAGCCAACGGCGTTTGGAAGGTTCTGGTGTTAACCTGGATTTTTATTTTCATGTTCTTAGTTTGTTGTAACATTGCAGGGCCATATGGTCGAGTCGATAGTGAATATGGCAGATTTCCCACTTCTCTTGCTCCCGTGTAAGAGTTGACGTCGTTATGGTCATCCCCTTCTGTCCATGCTAGCTCGTCAAGACCTAGTGATCTTTTGAGACTCAACTCATCTGACGGGGAAACACTTCCATCAATTTGATCAGTTTCTACAATTCACGACAATGTACGGTATTCACCGGGTAGATCGTCCTCCAGCCAACTTTACTCCATAGTTAGTTACCCCATACTTCGAATCCTAGTCACGTGACCAAAACTGCGCAAGTGTCGCTCCGGGCAGCCAGGCGTCTTTCCCTCTTCGCTACGGCGCACAGCAGCGACAACAACCGCCTGATAAGAGCAGAGCTCCACCATCACTTCTCCGGGTTCCGTCCTCCCCGCCAGACGCGCCTCCATTGGGAGGGAGCGTCTCTGCTGTCATGGTGTACGATTGGGCTGGGAAGCGGGATATCTGCTTCCAGATGTACATTCAGGAAAAGAAGGCCCTGGAGGAGATCATGGAGTACATGAGGACGGCTTATCAGTTTGCGCCGAGGTAAGCTTCACTCTCCGTTCCGATTTCTTGAGCTTCCAAAAGTACCTCTCCGATCATTCAAGACTAACATCTGTTGCTTTCAATAGTAAGCGCGCCTACCAGACACAGTTCAAGCGATGGGGGTTTCCCTCGAAACAGAATCCTGCGCATAAGAATGTCGACCTCGTCGCCCGAGTGAAGGAGCTATGGGAACACAACACCAATCAACGCGATATGCTCCGCATATTGAATGAGGAAGGATTTTCGATTAAAGAAAGAGAGTTGATGCGCGTTCGCGCAAAGAACCGCTGGCTTCTTCGCATCCCCAATGGCATGAAATCACAACTAAGTGCTGATGCGCGGAATACACAACCAGATGAGGATGAAGGGCTTTTGGCGCTCCAGCAAGAGGTTTACAAGCAGGAGGAGCATTTTGAAGGTGCCGACTCAATTCCCGCAGAATCCGATCCCGCGACTGCCGAGCGCCCCTCGTCCCCAGGCCTGTCACCGGAAGTTCTAGCGAAACGCAAAGAACGTCTGGACCGTCTCAAATCAGAAAGCGCAGAGCGATGGGCTTCCAGGAAACGTCGTCGTCGTACCCGTGGGTGGGCTGGACTGCCTGCAGATCCTCCGGGGCCCCCTCGATTTCCCTCGGAGACTACAATCGACGAGAGCAAACAGTACCTCAATTTGGACAACACGACATATCGACAGCTGAGAGACCACTTTCAGCGGATATGTGAAGAAGCCGGATTCATTAAAAAGACAGTTGCTGGCCCAGAGCGGTGGCAGGCCGCGAAGGACAAATTGATCCAGGAATCCCCCCACCTACAACAGGTGTTTAGTTCCGAGCCGACCCAACGTGATGCGAAAGCTTTGGCTCTGGATGTTGTGTGTACAGATGTGACCAAACGAATGAGAACCTTGGAGCGACGCATGACCCTTGCCGAAGCCAAAAACGCTCTGGGAGTCAATCCGGAGGAAAGTCGCCAGATCCGTAACGCGTTCTATGATACCCTCAAGGCGGACCATTTCACAAGCAAGCTAGAAGCGGGCGATGAGCATTGGGAGGAGTTAAAAGCTCGATGGATTCATAATTCGCCCCTTCTTCAACGGATTCTTGAGCCAGGTTCGGCTAACCCAGAACACGCGTCCAAGTTGAAAGCCTTGGAAGTGCTCTGTCGGGACGTGATGAAACGGCTGCGAGACGACCAGACCAAGCGAGATCCGGCTCGCAAAAGATCCACGCCGCGAGCCAGCTCACAGAACCATGTACCATCCAGCAATACTCCTGTTCATAATATGATGGACAATGGAATCAGCAACGGGATCAGTACCCTCGCATCCCAGGCGCTCGCCAGCGCTCCCATTTCCGCTAGCGAGCTTGGCGACATGCAGATCGATCCCTCTCTGCTGCAGGCAGCTAACGACCCGTCCTCTTTCACGGCGAATCCACAACACGAGGCGGCCAATGCCTTTGAATATATGGACCCAATGCTTCATTCTCCATTGCTTAACACGACAGTTTGGTTCCAGAGTAGCCCTCAGAGTCAGCTTCAGGGAACTCCCGCCAAACCCTGGATGGACAAGCTGGCCACTCGATCGGTTGAAGAGGTGCGCCAGATCATCACTGGCCGCTATCCTTACTCGATTCTCAGCAAGATCGAAGGTGTCGATCAGGATGAGCATGGTAACGAGACATTTTTCTCCATCGACGAAGATCACGAGCTGGATGCTTATTTGGCACAAGTCCATGGGCGAAAGGCCTTGCTTGTTTTCACAGTAGGGCAAATTTGAAGCGGACTACAATACGTCGCCTCCTATAATGAACAACCTGGGTACGGGGTCAAGGTTTCTGATTTACGATTCTATTCACTGGCTAGAAGATAGAAGACTGGGAGTTAGGTATTGATACGGGCTTCTATAACCCAAGACGAAAATCAAATCTTTGCAATCCAATTGGCAGTGGCTGATGAATTTCGGTCATGCCGCCTTCAATATGGTCTTCTTTTCCACTATGAACGCCGCGCTGCTCCTCGTACTTGACGTCTTATCACATCTAATCATATTGGAGCCTTTACTGGGCCGCTGTCTACATCGTACGCACTCCATATCGTGGAAGTTGGCTGGGTCTTCTCGAGTATTTGATAATTAAAAGACACTACTTATATATCCAAGTTGTGATGTCTTATAGCGAGGCGTTAGTGGCTGTGACAAGTTTACAAATTCATGTTATAGATGCAACGGTCACAAAAATATCGCTTTAATTCACAAGTATATCACATTTGACCCAACCTTGAACTCCTACCAGTCCAGACGGAATTTTAGCTTGAACCCAGGGTCTGCACCACGTTCCTGAAGAGAACACCGATGGAGGGGAGGGAGAAGGCCGGTGTGTCTCCAAACACCGTGGCCAGCGCCTTATTTTGAGAAGTAGAATGGTCATCCTCAGCAGCCGGCAGTGCTGCGGGTCGCTCGTGTGCCTGGCTGAAGATGCTAGCTAGTCCAGAATTCAGCTGGCTGGTCACCTCCTGTGGCTGTGTGCTCTTCTGTGATGCCTTTTCCAAGCAGCCAAGGCGCTGCACACTGACAGTTGAATCAATGATGATGTAGTCGCCGGTGTATGTGTCTGATAGGAGCGCCAAGGGACTGCAGCCAAGAGTTTCTTGGAATACTAAATCAAAGGACGGGACATCGTAAATTCGGATATAGTACCGAGCCTTGCGCCGCTTCTTTTGGGGGTTGTTCGAGCTGCCACCGCGGCGGATAGCGATAGCAAAAGTTTCAGTTCGTGAATTGACCGCAACCAAGGGTAAGAACATCACATCGGTAGAGCCAGTCGATTCGGTGAGCTCAATTGGCTTGACGACATCGTCAACAGTGTCCCAAACAGCCACGGACCCGGAAGAAGCGACAATCAAGTACTTTCCGAGGAACTTCGCGGATAAGGGCTTTCCAAAGAAGACCCCGGTCCGGCGATAGTGTACAGTGCCGTTTCGGGCATCAACCAGAAGAACAAGACCATCGCTTGGACCGGAATGAGAGGGCAAGCAAACAGCAAGGACAGACCCGTCTTCAGAGAAGCTTATACAGGCTGTCTCAAGAGCGCGCGTGGCATTTTCGAGCGATGCACTCAAATCGACCACACTTCGGCACTTCCAAGTGTCAAGGTTCTTTTTAGACGCATCGGTATTCAGGCCACTTCGGTGCCGGGCGGTTGGGCACCAGAAGCGGAGGGATGCATCGGCTCCAAGGGTGGCAAACTCATGGGAGCATGGGCGAGCCACAAGGCCAAGGACGGTAGCATGACGAGAATCACTGAAGTGGGGTCCGTCGATGCGCGTCACCAATTCCCAACTGTCGGATGATGGGTTCCACTTCCAAAACTTGAGGTAGACCTCGGGGCGCGATGAAGCCAGGTCGTTCTTTTGAGTGCTAAAAGTCAAAGCTTCTACGTCTTGAGGATTCGGCACCCATGAATCGACGGTGGCTAACCATTTTCCATCCTGTATGATGTCCATCTGGCGGACATCGGGAGCGACGATAGGAGTTCCGTCTGGGCCAATATCCAAGGTTGTTGCGTTGGTTCGTGCCAGAGCTTGGCGGGAGATGTGGCAATTGGCGCGGATATCGAATGTCTGGAGAACAGCAGAGCTTGGGCGCTGCTGCCCCTGTTGACTAATGTGGTAAGAAGCGGGAACTGTAACCAGCAGTCGTTCGGGGTGCTGCGGGTGCAAGGTAGCAACGGCACCGCAAGGTCCTCGTGGAGAAGAGTCCTTGTAGCTTTCAGTGCTTAGTTGGAGACCAGTCACATTGGCGGAGGGCTGCAGCTCTCGAGCAGACAAGACCATAACCGAGTTATCAGCCAGTTTGACGACATAAGAGTTTCCGTTCGGTGAAACAATTATATTGCATATGGGCGAGGAAAGATGAGGAAGGAACTGCTTTCGTCCAGTATCAAGCTGCCACAGCACCAGCACCGATTCCTGGCCACCTGAAATAAGATAATTGCCTGGGAAAAGATTGTTAGCAAATGTACTTTAGGCAATGACAAATTATCAGGCAATAGTCTTACCATCTCTGGACCATCGCACGGAACTGACAGCACCTCGGTGCCAGTGCAATTTGCGGGGTGGGGATTTCTTCTCCACGGAATGACCAAACAGGGTGCTGAGAATGTCTTGATATATCAAGATGTATCCGCCAGTGTCACCGACTACCAAGTCAACCACGGGATCTGAGGATTCCGAACTTTCATCGGAACTTTCACGCAGGTGGAAACAGGTGGCAGGAGCTGGGAGGGTAGCCTCGCGCCACGTGTACTGAGTAGACTCGAGCAATTCGAGATCAACGCTCGAAGTAGTACCCAGGAACAGATGGGATCCATCACAAGCGACGATGACTCGGCCCCCACATGCAATTTTAATGGTGTTGATCGGCTCGTTGGTTACAAGGACTGAGATACCGGCGAGCTTCTTTTCACCTAGTGAGTTAATCAAAATCTGCCTCTTCCCGTCCTTCTGGGAGACTATCGAGTATGATGCTAGCTGGTCCTTTCTCTCGAGCACTGATAGATCAACCGCCGCGGTGGGGGCATCAGTCCCCCAGCGGGCAAGCCGCTTTCCAGAATCCCAGTCCCACTTGGTCACAAAACCAGGTGTGAAAATATAGAGAATATCGGATTCGATGGGGCACAGTTGGTATCCAATCACTTTCTGGCCGGCTTCCATTTGCAGGGTACGGAGGAGGCGAGAGGTAGCGGTTGCAAATACTTGCACTGAAGTGTCGAGTCCCACGAAGAGATATCTGAAAATGGAAAAGGGTCAGCTGCCGGGCTTGTGCGACCAGAGAAGAGATGTCTACTTACGCCTCATCTGTAGTCATGACGGGGTCCAGATTGCTATAGCGGCCACCGACGGGACGTGAAAATGACCATGGTGCGGCACTCTTTCGCTCTCGCAGTTCCTGCGACGGAGGGTCGTCATTGGTTGTAGCTTCAGCATTGCTGGAAGCCTTGGCCTTCTTTGGGCTCTGAGTATCGATCACATCGGAGGTACGGCGCCGTTTGGTTCGCTCCTCGCCCGGCCGCGATACTTTCTCTGCGGCATCACTGGCCCGAGATCGTTTCTGGTGTTGAGCCGACTGGCTGGGAGCCATTGCGCAGGTCCCGTTTGGGAGTTTCAAATAAAATGATCGTTCAAATGGCGAAGATAACAGGACAGGTTTAGTCTGTCATGTCCGGGAATTTTTGTATAGACAATCAAGTCCCGCCAGTCGAAGCTCGAAAAGGTCCATCGCATCTTTTTTTTTCTCCCAGCAAAAACTGGGCGGTATCGCATGGCAGAAAAAGCGGTCCCGCTGACCGCCGTCGCGGGAAAAGTTTCATCGCTTCAATCGTGTCGAACGGAAACATCCAACGCTCGGCATCTTCGCAAATCCTTACACTTTCCGCCGCAAATACACCATGATCATCCCAGTGCGTTGCTTCTCCTGTGGAAAGGTAAGTGGCGAGATTCAATTCGGGGTTTTCGGCTTGGTAGGCTTTTGCTGATAACTACCTAGGTTGTCGGTGACCTATGGGAGCGTTATCTCGAACTCCTCGACCAGGGGGTCGCTGATGGGTAGGTGATTCCCAGTGGCGATGTGAGCGTTTCTCTTGTTACATCTCCCTAACAGCTCTTTCAGTGATGCCATGGACCAGCTTGGCTGCCGCCGCTACTGCTGCCGACGTATGATCATGACCCACGTGGACCTGATCGAGAAGCTCCTTCGGTACGAGGTGAATCTTCTAGGACTATGAGGGCATTGGACTGATGGGACTGTCTAGGTACAACACCGCCGAGAAAGACCGTGCCAATGCGCAGGCTTAGTTGGAACTCCGCCCTCTTTCTTTAACGACTTTCTTCCACGATCGATCTACTTCTTCAGGGGCGATGTTCAGACTTTTGTCCATGTGCAAATTCCATGCGCGCTAGCTGCCCGGGCAAATTCATGGTCCTCGAATATCGCGGCTCTTATGATACAATTGGTTGGATATTTTTGATCGCCAGGGTCAGACTGGGCTTCGCCAACCGTCCGTGTCCGTTGTGGAACCTTTCAACGAGACAACAGTGGCATAGCTGGGATATTGCTGCATACACATTACACGATCAGTCGAGGTGGGCTGGACACGGTGATGGAAAAGTTCTAGAGGCGGACTGCGTTTTGATCCCCGTCCACTTGCATTTGGGAAGGCGTTACACACAATCTTGGAATTTGGCGTCTATGGAGGCCCCCTGTACTTTGTAGAAAATTCACTACCGCTTGGACTACAGCCACCTTCTCAGGGTGGATTATCACTGTCTGAACCATTTTCTACTCGTGTCTCTGTTTCTCCCTCTGCGGATTCGACCATCTCTACTCGGAAGTAGCATTTCCATTTATCACGATTGCCGCGATCCAGGTGGAGTAATTGGCCAACTACTGGCCTGCTACTCTGATGAAAAAGAGTCGAGGGCTTCTATAGCTTGGGCTACTGAGTGGTCCATGGCTCGTTATCATTGCTCATTCTTGCTAACTCGCAACAGCAAGTCGGATGAGGTCCCGCTGCCGTTTCCCCCCCTCCACTTCACACGATTATCATTTGGCCCCAATTTGCGAACTCCCCGTTGGCTCCCGCGAAATCAGAAAAGAAGATTCCAATGTCATTCGTGGGGTCCGAGCTGTCGCAAGCGCCCAGCATCCCCATGTGGTCTAGCTGCTCAAGCTTGGGGGCCCGCTCTCCGGCGTCTGAGTGGGTACACCGACCCGAGCTGCATGCTCATCACGCCCCAGGCGCCTTGGTCCTCTCCCCCTCATGCATCTGATTCTGTGGGAATCTCCATAGTGCTGCGTGTTCAACTTGTCTAGGTTTCCAGCTTGTCCAGCTGGGTATCGTTCGCATCCCTCGCAACTCCTCGGTCGTATCAGAGACCTCGGTCGGCACCAACAGCGGCTGGGTGATATTGGAATCCCGAGAGCCTGGAAAGTAATCCCAATGAGTTGCCTGGGCGCGGCCTAAGCTCATTCGAAAAGACTTGCGCGGGGATCGCATTCAATTACCCTTGGGTTTCCTGACTCCGTCAAGACTCTTTTTTTTTCACACATCTTTCTCTTGCGATCATCCGTCCACAACTTCGGCCATGATGGCCGTCAGGTCGCCATTGCCCGTCCTGCCATACCGCGACCCCTCCAGCCCCTTTGCGGGGCCTGAGTCAATGTAAGGCTGAGATGCGATGATTCAGAGGCGAACTGTGGACAATTCTATCGTCACCCATTCGGTCGCTGATGTAGGCGCAGGTCTGTGGAAAGCTCCTCCATCTCAGAAAACACGCGAACCTCGGTCTACCTTCCCCGGGACGTTGTTTCCACAAGCACGACGGATACATCATCAACGTCATTCAACGACCATCAACTAGAGGAGATTGAGGTGATTCGCGATAAAATCCATGGTGAGGTGGTTGCTGTCCCCGCGACGCCTGTGCAAGGACCAAGAGCGGGGATATCACCCCCTCTGGGACTAAGCGTATGTATATCGGTTCCAGAGTAATGAACCTGCCGAGGAAATCGACCTCCTCTTTCCAAACTCGAGACCTCAAGCCTCATTCTGACAGAGGTAGATTCAAACCGCGCAAATGCATCAGAATGGACTCGTCGCAAGATCTGATGAGGACGAACCACCTCAGTCGGTAATCCATGCCCCAGCTGGGTTTGGCGAGTTTGTAAGGAGTCACTATCCCCTTTAATTGAGAATCAGCACAGTACAAAGTCCGTTAATCCTCTACTAGACTAGGCTACAGCCATCCTCCGAACAATCATGCGAGGATGAGGAGTCATCGTCTCCGAGCTTCTTGGATCATTTACAGTTGATTGACAGGCCGGGGGTATCAGAAACATCGCGGAAGGTGCTGAAATCCTAGTTCTGACAAATTTCCGGGCTCACCCTTGCACTTACTGACAAGACACGTCTGAGAAGGTTGGCACGAGCCCTATATCTCCGCCTCCGTTGACAACTAGTGTTGCGCCGGTCCAGGATTGGTCGGATAGAGCAACTCCCCGGGCGCAAACAAGACAAGAATTTGAGGAATCTGGACGGCGGACACGTTCAAGCAGCTTAGAAGGTAATTTTTTTTGCGATGTGAAAGTCCATGTTTTGCGTGTATTCCCGCAGTCGCTAACTTGTATCGGGAAGATATACCGGAAGGTAGTGAATTCAAATCACACATAGAGATGGCTCCGGATGTGGGGACTAACTTCCCGCCAGGAAATTTTGGCAGTAAAGGAGCGGAGATCAATGCTCTTCGAGCAGCTCTCACTGAATGCTGGACCCTCTGCAATACACTGTCTAGTCTCAGTTATATTAATCGGGAAAGACTCCTTCGGTCCCACAATGACGGTATGCAAGAGGACGCCTGGCGATCCTGTTGGCGACTATGTCAGAAGCTATACGACACTCGCGACGACGACTATTGGTCACAAGTGATCCCAACCCTCGACTTATGTCGAGATTTCTGTCAGGCATTGTTCGAAGTCCGTGTTTGTGACAGCGACCTAACCGACTCGGTGCTGAGAGTAAGCTTTGAACTCAATAATCACCTCTATAACACACACGATCGCAACCTTCCCGACGCATTCCGTGAGCGTACATTGGATTTCTACATAACACTATGCCACCGGCTCATGAAGCAGCGAACCCGTCTGGCGGAGACGGACTCTCTCCTCAGTGCCTGTTGGGCGCTCGCTGAGATGCTATTCAGCATTCGCCAGGCTAAGAGAGAAGGAAGGGAACTGGATGAGGAGCTGTTGGGCTCGGCAGTTCAGGCCTGTTGGGAGCTCTGCGATATATTCCGTGAGGGCTGGACTCTGAACAGCTTGCGCAGCTCGGATCGAGGCACTCCGCGTCCAAGTCAGGCCACCTTTGCCCAGGCTTTCCAGCAAGTCTCCCAGCAGTCGGAGCTTGAATTTGCCGATGATTCTCTAGGACAGGCCACGAATCCTGAGACACCGACTACGATCTTTGACGACACTGCCACAGTCTCCCCCGATGAAGCACCGGTCCCCAACATTTTGGTGCTAGGGCATGGCAGTGGCCATACAACTTCTCATTCTAAATGGCCTTCCAATGTTTCCAACGTCTCCGAGAAATCTCGATCCTCCGGACAAACAGCTTCATCCGCTAACACCGTCACCACCATGTCGGAGGACCCTAATTTCACACGCCTGAAAGTGCTCATCACTAAGGCTGCGATCAACAGTGGCTATCAGCGAGGGACCACCCAAAATTTATCCTCCTTTGTGAAATCACTCCCCTCGGATGCGTTCGGCTCGGCGCCCTGGCAATCTACGTTATTGAAAAGCTACCGGAAGCTAGTTGCGTTTGACCCTGCATTTCGCAACGTCGGACCCCAGGGTCGTGTCAGCGCCATCGATTTAGCACACGCATGCCAGGCAATGGCTCAGAATGGACAATACTGCTGGCTACGGGATCTATATCGCCTAGTCTTTGGGTTTCACCTAGAAGAGGCTACGGGCCGTAAGGGTGTGACTATTCAGACGTAGCCCCGGCGCGTCTACGTGCCGCTCTAGCTTTTGTCATATAATTCAATCTACACTGGTGGCTTCAAGGTCGGCTCTGGTTAAGGTCAATCAATCAATCGAAGTTCACAGACCTATTCTAGCTTCCTCCGTTTATAGTCGCTACGTAGGGATTTACGGTCTTGATTAGCCATCAGTAGATAGAGGGAAGGTATGGCTTTAGCTTTGGTTATAGGGAAGGATAGATAGTGCTATAGGGAGTGAGGAGCTACTGAGATCCGAAGGGTAGATAGGGCATGGCCTTCTAAGTATAGGAAAAGGAGAGACTATATATATATGCGCGGCCGACGAGGGCCTTACGTGACCAGAAGTGGCCGGAAGGAGATAGTAGGTCAGGCCTACTAGAAAGGGAGCCTAAGGTAGAAAAAGCTCCCGAGATCTTATCCTCCCCCACTAAATCTGATCTCGACCCGAGATCACTGTATATAGGCATAAAAGGGTATATATATAACGTAATTCCCGGCCGTCTCGAACACCCGGCCGTCCCGAACACCCCTAAACACCATAGTAAACACGATATTTCAGGTTGCTATATATCAACAACAAGAATATAATATTACTTGATTTTCGGTAGGATAGTTCCTTGTAATACATTAACTAGTATAGATCCATCAATAAGTAGATTACATAGTTATTTACATATATTACTAAAAATACACGCCGATAAGGTGATGCATATTTATATATTAATATTACACTACCTCAAAATAGTTTTTGACCGGATAAATATACTTAATATAATATATTTGATACTTAAATATCCTATCAACTTATATAAACCCTTATAGGTTGAAATATCATAATCTGAAATATCGTATTTAGTATGGTGTTTAGGGTGTTCGGGACGGCCGGGTTATTACGAACCTTAAGAAGGCGCGGGGCCGTAACTAGTTAAGGAATAACTGTGAGATATAGGGCAGGATGTTATCAAGCCAGACCGCCATGCAGCATATCAAGCCAGATTCATAAGGCCTATACAAGATGGCTGAATCTCTATAAGCTTTATGCTATACCATCATCACTACGGTCAATGACATCGCTATACCATCATCACTACGGTCAATGATATCGTAGAAGACGTATACTATTGTATACGATCTACATCATCACTACGATCAATGACATCGTACAATCAAGCAACCACCGATCAAACAGCTACTGCATGAGATCACTATCTGTCTGCATGAGATCATCATGCATCTAGATCTAGGATCTAGAACGATCACATGCAAAAGAGGTTTGATAAAGATTGATTATAAATAAGCCCTGTTTTCTCTACAAAAATCATGTTCAAGACATACAAGCAAGATTCAATACAATCAACCAAGCTTCAGTCCTACTTTACTTTTCTCTCATCTTTATGATTCTAAGCCGAATTGAACTTATCCTTCCTATTCAATCAAGAGGAAGAAAGATCAATCGATCTTATTTAATCATCTTTAATTTATCTTCCTCTTTACCCAACCTGCGCAGCATCGCTTGCTCACAGGTTATGAGCCCGAATTGATCCTACTTCAATTCGGCTTATACCACTTCTTCAATCTTCTATCTTCAACGAAGAATCCTTTACTTTTAAGAGAAACTTCTCTCTCTTAAAGAGAAACAAAAAGCTCCTCCGACTTCTTATTTTCAAAAATTTATACTCGATTTTTACCGGTCGCGTCTACTTCTCTATACGAAAACTAAGAAATCTCAACTTTCTTGACAAAAACAATCATTTTTCAAATATTCAATCAAGTTTTTTGAACTCAAAATGATCAACAAACACAATATCGATCCTCTCAAAGGAGAAGGAAATTATGTTGCCTGGTCTATCCGAATCAAGGCAATTCTTGATCAAGAGAGACTGATCGATGCGATTCTACATGATTACACAAAGCTTCCTGCTATTCAGCAAGGCCAGATTCCTAATCAACACTGGTCTTATGAAAAAGCAATTGCTCTACCACCTGATCAACGATCACCTGATTGCAGAAATACTGCGATTTGGTCAGGAAGAAGATCTGGTAGACCTACAAGATCTACTAGCCCTGCTGAGATAGGCCAAAATGAGCTAGTTATTCCATCTGATAAATTCAAAACTATTGATCAGATGAATCGAGACGCTCTATCATCAATCAAGCTATCATGCAAAGATGGCCCACTCTTTTGGTTAGGAGATACCACATCGGCCTACCAAGCATGGGTTACCTTGGCTACCCAATATCGACCTAAAGGCTTTACTACCGAATTCCTTGTGTTGAAAAGCCTATTCAATAGTCAATTAGGCGATTTCGATAGCATGCATGATTATCTCACTGAGATAAGACGCCTGCTAATCGAACTGGCAAGCCTAGGAATCGATTTCCCAAAGCAAATCGTATTCGCATGGGTTCTCAACAATCTTGACCAATCATACGCACCGATTATTCAAAATATTATTCAATCTCTTCGCAGAGACTCTGATTCTTATACGATTGAATCGTTATTCGCCAATCTGATTGACGAATCGCGTGGTCATATTCAATCAAGCGAACAAATCTTCATAGCTGATAGCCATCAGCCTAATCGACAGAACAAATATCAGGCTCATCGCAAGCCTAATCATCAGGTAAAGCACTATTCAAAAAATCGTCAGGCTAATCAAAATCGTCGAATTAGCAAAAAACCATGGAAAAAATTGTCAAATTCTGGCAAATACTGTACGCATTGTAATATGCGAAGCCATACAGTAGCAGATTGCTGGTATCTGCATCCTTCTGGCAGACCAGCTAATTGGATACCTAGGGCAAATTGGCCTAGATCCAATCAAAATAATCAAAGATTTAATCAACAAAAGAAGATGATCACAGCAATGCTCAATGAGCAATCTGACGAGGAAGAAATCCACGTCACTAGTCATGTGACAGATTACCCCGCAGAAGCTGAACATCAAGAAACCTCGGCTAGCAACCTACTGCCTACTAGCCTATTGGCTAATGATCCAATTGATCTTGACGGTGATATCTGTTATACACCGATTAGTCCAATTGACTATCGATCAGATTATCAGATAGAATCTGATATACCCATGACAGAGGCACAGCCAATCAGGCATGGCCTACCAATCTTTGATGATCAAAACCTGATAAGAGACTACTCAAATCTGAGTAATGAATCTATGGTGAATACACCAAGAAGTCTCTCACTCTGCGATGAGTTCTCGCATGAAACCGATCAGGTAATTTATCTACCTATCAAAACAAACCAAGAAACCAATTCTGATATCACTATAGAAAGTGCATATAATCTGATAAATTCAGATCTTTCTACTACAAAAGTGATTTTCATTATTGATACAGCTGCCACTATATGTGCAGTATCTAAATTGGATTTGTTTGATAGTGTATATAAAACTAATAAAACTGTCATGTGGGGAAATGCACAAAGATTATCTATCGATCTTGCTGGAGATATTATCTTCCAGACAAATACCAATCTAGTCTATAAATTGACTAATGTGCTCTATGTCCCACAATTGGGAATCAATATATTAAGCACACATGCACTGAAAAATTCAGTATCTCTATTTAATAGAGAAAAGGCCACTATTTTCGATCAATATCGAAATATTATGCTGATTGGGCATAAGCAAGATAATCTATATCGAACTACCCTATATGTGATGCATACAAAGCCACATAAGGTAGATTCTGATCAAAAAATCGATCAAGATCAATCTATCCAAAGTACTAGCAATATTACTAGTTTAAAACTTTGGCATGATAGATTAGGCCATATAGGCCTAATACCACTACAAAGGCTACTAAGCCAGGCCGATATATCTCTATCTGATACTGAGATAAGAGATTATATGCAAGATATATGCGAAATATGCATACAGTCAAAATATGACAGGAAGATCAATAAATCTTCTACTTCTGCTGCCGAATACGGCATAGGCGAAAGAATACATAGCGATATTGGAGGGCCTATTAGCCCTAAGACCTATAATGGCTATCGCTACTACATCACGTTTCTTGATAAAACATCAAGATATCTACATATATCTCTACTTCGATCAAAAGACGAAGCTATTAAGAAATTTACCTTATATAAGCAATTGGTTGAAAACCAGCTTAATAAGAAGATCAAAGAGATATTTACCGATAACGGTACTGAATACGTGAATGATAACTTCCATATATTATTAGGAAGATACGGTATTATACACCGAACTACGCCTATCTATACAAAAGAGCCAAATGGCCTAATTGAGCGCATAAACCTGACACTTATGAACAAGGTCAGATGTTTATTAATCCAATCAGGATTAAAAGAAGATATGTGGGGAGAAGCCTTATTGGCTGCTACCTATCTATATAATATAACCCCACACAGTGCTCTAGGGTTCAAATCACCCTATGAGATATATCACAAGCGCTTACCTGCTATCAGGCATATAAAGACCTGGGGATCTATTGCCTACTATCATACAAACAAAAACCTGCCTAGCAAGCTATCGCCAAGAAAATCTATAGCTATTGTTATTGGCTATAGTGAGCAGAAGCACTATAAGCTATATGATCTGAAGCAGAAGAAGACAGTTTGGTCAAGAGACCCTACTATCTTAGAAGGTAGATTCCTGAAGAATCAATCTGATCTAGCCAATCAGGAACCAGGAATCAAGAAAAGATCTGCTAAACAAGCAGCAAACCCTATCAAAAAGAAGATTGCTAGATATACTAGCAAATCTACTAGCCTATCTACTAGCAAATCAGCTAGTAAAGAAACTAGCAAATCAGCTAGTAAGCCTACTAAGCAAACTGCTAGTAAGGAAGCTGCTATAGCAGCGGATCCGTCTCATAAGATAGAGATCCAAATCCCATCATTAAAATCTACCAAAGATAGCGAAGATATATATACTATATCAGATACGCTACTAGGAGATTTTATAAAGACTATTATCAACGATCAGCCTACCGATTATATATTATCGGCAGGAA